TTTAAGGTGGTGTGTTTTAAGGTGGAAGCCCCTGGCTGGCGGAGGGAGAGAGAGAGTGTTTGTTTTCCTGCTGAATGACTGAGACCTTGTGGGATGTGAGGAATTTATGAGCTGGCAGGAGGCCAGAGGAGAGAGAGACGGAGACGAGGGTGAGTGGAAAATAAAGCGAGGGATAAAAACCGGAGGAAGGCTGGAGGTTTTGCTTGGCTGGACTCAAAGGAAGGAGAGGGGAGGGTCTTTCCCCCGGCTTTTTTTTATTTTTTATTTTTATTTCCAGGCCAGAGGGAGCGTGGCAAACCACACACACCGACGGAAAGATGGGAGGGAGACAGAGAGAGAGAGAGAGAGAGAGACGGAGGAGGGAAAGAGAAGAAGGGAAGAGGGAGTCTCACCTCGTTGTTGATATCAAACACTCCCTCCTGGATCTTCTCATAGATGTCCTTGGCTGTGTTGATGAAAGCCTGAGATACAGACAGGAAGTGGGACAGGGTGAGTTTTGATTCGGGTTTTTATACTCAAAAACTTTAGATTTAGACAAAGAAAAACACAAAAGAACAATCAGAAGAATTTAAAAAACTCGGTGTAAATGGGCTCTTTCCAAAAGCAGGAACTCTTTAACCCTATAATGCCAAATATATCATATATATCATGATATATCATAATTTAAAGGTAAAAACTCTGCCAAAAATCCTGTTTTACACAATCAGATACACCTGATAACAGGGGGCAGAAGACTACACAAAAATAATCTTGACATATCGCATAGTACTAAATTATTAAGATAAAAAATGTGTTTCTGTTTTTTCTTTTTACATATTTTTTTAAAGGCCAAATAAAGACTTCAAACCAAAAAAAACAGGTCATTTTCTGTTTCGTTTTATTCTTGGTTGGGGCTCTAAAGGGTTAAAGAGAGGGTCTGAGACAGGAAGGATATGGTTTTAACAGCTGACTGTTCAGGCTGGAGACAAATAAACAAAAACCCAGCAGCTGGGCTCCAGCTCAAGAGGAGAGAAGAAGAAGAAGAAGAAAACAGTCCGGGGTCTGAGCCGGCGGCCATCTTGTTTCAGAGGTTAGAACCAGCTCGCCCCAACATGCAAATACAGGATGGAAACGACCCGGTTCCACCACAAACCCACAGCTAAAAGACTAAAGTCCTCTTCTCTCCTCTGGGGGCTCCAGAAAGAAAGGGAGAAAAGGCCTTTTAATGGAGTTTTATTTGGGATTTAATACTTACAGACGCACACCTTTAAAGATATACGGGGGGTGAATGAAAACCTAGTTAGAGAAGCTAGCTACCCATAAGATCAGAGCAGGATAAATAATAATAAGTTAGAACTATATAGATAAATAAATAATCAAATAAAATAATTAAATAAAATAATTAAAAAATAATAATAAAATAATAATAGATAAATAAAAATAATTCAATTAAAACCAATATTTAAATAAAACAATAAAAATAATAATAATGGATTAATAAATAATATATAATAATAAACAGATATAATAGATAATAGATCAATCATAATAAGTATAATAATATATCATAATAATATAAGATAAATAATAATACAAAGCCACAGAAAAGATCACAGATAATTGAATAAAGTAGAATCAGGCTCCCAGAGTGTCTACAGTATGGATTCATCGGTCTCCAGGGACAGTCTCAGAGTAAAAGAGCAACAGCTGAGATCAGCTAAAGCCAAAGAACAGGCCAGGGTCACTTCAGACCACGGCCAAGGAACAGAAAGCAAAAATAAACCTCCTCAATGGAGGAAAAGCAGAAAAAAAATGGTGTTCAGGACTGGAAATATGTCCTGAACTCCTATCTGACACCCTGTCGGAAATAGACTGAGCCCAGGGGTGCTCAGTCCTGTCCTCCTTCCTTCCTGCTACACTCCACCGGCCCATGCTAACTTCTTATTATTATTCTTATTATTTCTGGGGTTTAGCTGATGGAGTTTAGATGGGTTTGGGTTGTAAACATGGTGGGGGGATAAAAACAGAAAGGAGGAGAGAAGTGGGAGGGGGATAAAGGGAGAGGAAAGTAGGAATGTGTGGGATAAATGTGTAGAAAATGAGTAAAGTGGACAGCAGAGATGTGGAGAATAGTGAATTAAGACGTCTAAAAGAAGACGAAAAGGGACAAAAACATGGAGGATAACCAGAAAAGAGCAGAGGAGGCCGAGGACGGGTCTGGAAACGGGTCTGGACGGAGGAAACCTGCTAACAGGATCTCTCCATCTCTCTCAGAGGACCAGTGTCCACCCACAGACCCTGACGACAAACCCCGCGCCCTGATTGGCTGCTGGGTGTCGCTGAGGGAGGCGTGCAGAGGCTATGAATATGGATGAACTTTAACTGGAGGAAATAGTGCAAAAGAGAGAGAGAGAGAGGGAGAGAGAGAGGAGGTGGGAGGAAGGAAATGAATGGAAGAGGGCAGGAAGACGCAAATGAGGAGAGGGAGGAAGACACATGAGAGGTGGAGGGTGGCAACGGGGGGGGGGGGGGGTGGGGGGAGGGAGGGGGGGAGGGGGTGAAAGAGGAGAGGTAAAGAGCAAATGATGGACGTGGAGGGATGAGGAGGGCTGGAGCGAGGAGAGATGAAGGGAAGGGAGGAGAGGAGCGGTATCTGGAGGATTCAGAGGACACTAATGAGACAAATTAATCATACCACACACACACACACACACACACACACACTCACACACACACTCACACACCTCCCCCTCATCTTAACCCCGTTGAGAGCTCTGCTCGACAGGGGTGTGGGTGTGAGTGTTTGCCTGATATAGGCCAGGCAAGAGACGGGAGAGGGGAAAGAAAAAAAATAATCAATGTAAACACACACACACACACACAGACACACAATAACACACACACACACACACTAACACACACAGAGCAGGGCCCCCGGCTGGCATGCTGCGTGGTGTAGGATGGGATTATTTATGTGATTGGATAAGTGAGAACGGGGTCCCGGAGGACCACCGGGGGTGTGTCGCTATTAGGGGCGGGGCTACTAATAAACCCCTAAAAAAGACATTTGGTTTAATTTTTGGGTCATTCCATAATTATTTGAAGTGGGTTTCTCAAGTGGGCCTCAGCACTCTTATTTAAATGTGAATATTTTGATGTTATTCTGTGAAAAAATAGTAAAAAAATCAGAAGCAGAGAAGAAAATTCGGCTGAAATTAAACAAATATTAGCAAATAAATGTTAAAAAATGTGTGGATTCTGAATAGACTGAAAATTAATTTGCTTTTTTTAAAACATCAAGCTGGATAAAAACATGTTGGGAAACGGGTGACAAATCCTTTTCTAATTCAGGACACTGATCTAATCCTTATGGTTGGTCATCTTGATTCCAGATATACCTCATATCTAAACTGGATGATTATTCATGAGATAAACAGCGTCTGGACCCAAATGCTAAAGCAGCTGGTATAATATCAAACATTTATACCATGCAAATATTCATTAAACGCCAAAATAAAATAGATATTATCAATATTTATCTATTAGTCACAACGCTAAGGGCCAGAAATGTGGGCTTTTTTAAACACCTTGATCCAAAATGTGGACTAAAATGATTGAATCCTGTTCTTCTGTTTGCTGTTAGATGATTAAACAGATTTCCTGACTTAAACCAGACAATATGTAAAGATTTATTACAGGTTCTCAGAGTCTCTGGGTCTGTATTGGAGCTCTGCTTTGAGCTACACATGTCACCTTAGAGCCCCACTAGCTGTGAAAGAGCCGATAATTGGTGTGAAACTCCAGATTTATCTGTGTGTTTTGAGTGTGAGTTATTACCTCCTCTACGTTGGTGGCGGTCTTGGCTGAAGTCTCCATGAATACGAGGCCGTGTTCTCTAGCAAACGCTTCTCCTTCCTCTTTCTTCACCTCTCTCCTCGACTCTAGATCACTAAAACAAAGACAAAATAAAACCATGACCACCGGAAATAAAGCCTAAACCTCCTTTAATCACAGAGCCCTCCATGATTATTGGCCCCCCTATTTAAGATGTGGTTGAGGATTTCTACAAATTCTCATTTTTTTTAAAAACAAAATAGGACCAAAATGAAAAAAAAGAGAAAAATACAACCTTTTATTTAAGTTCATTACTTTGGTGGTAAAAATATAATCACACGTTTAGAAATTAAAAAAGGTGAAATCACGTGTCCCACAATTATTGCCCCCCCTAACAGTTATGCTGAAAATTTTAATTAATTTCCTTTAAATATATTTTTCTGTAGTTGCTAAAGTTGGAACGTTTAATTAGTAATTCATGACTTCCCGTTTCCCTGGAGTATAAATATGACAATTTTTATTTTCTAAACTTTTACTTTTACCACCAAAGTAATGTACTTAAAAAAAAGGTTGGATTTTTCTCTTTTTTTTCATTTGGGTTCTTTGTTGTTTTTAAAAAAACATAATTTTTAGAAGTCCTCAACCACATCATAAACAGGGGGGCAATAACTAAACAGAGGAGCCAACTATGTTTCCTCTGAGTACGTTAGCTAACTTTTACGATTATGCAAATTAGACAAAGACAGTGGCATGCAAACCTGTTACAAAACGGGGATCTGAGAGCTAGCTGTTTAATTTCTAACCAGACGATTCATTGTGAGTGGAAAGGGTTTTTATTTTTCCCCCTGAAGGGCAGAGATGGTCCTACCTCTTGTTACCGATGAGCATAATGACCATATTGGAGTTGGAATGCTGACGGGCGTCCTCTAACCAAGTCGTCAAGTGGTTGAAGGTGTCCCTTCTGTGGAGGAAAACACATTTCTGGTTTCAGTCTGACTGCACGTGAAACTGAAACCATTACAAATGAAATATCTGATGCTAATCGGGTGCAAACACTCTTGATTTCGCTTTTAAAAAACCTGTAAGTAACACTTTCTACTGTTTTGTTAGCAAAAAAACTAAACAAAATCGGCCTAATTGTCCTTTTTTTTTTCTACTACGGAGTGGAAGGATTAAAAAAATATAAAAAAAGTGCGACATGGGGATTGATTTGGACCACAGATTAAAAACTAAGAGGCTAATCACCATTGCAAATTGTGTTAAGGGCCTTTAAGCCCCCATTGATCTGAGCACCCCAGCAGAAAAATGTTAATTTGGTCTATGAATCCACGTTATTCCAAAAGAACCGAGCTCTGAGTACTGGGAAAATCCGGTCTAATTTATCAAGATAAAATCGGACGCAAAGAAGGAAATAAATACAAAGTAAAAGAATTATTTATGCAAATATGGAGGTATTTGTGTCTGTGTATAGAGAAGAATTCTGCATTAATGGGAGAAATGAGCTAAAGGTTAAAGGGTCAGGAAGTAATTGAGAGCCAATCCCTGGGGAGCACAGAAATCAATAACAAATTTTAAGTTATTCTGGCCAGTGGACATCAATAAAGTGCACGTTTCTCTGGGAAC